AAAACCCTAGCTTGAGTGAACGTGGTTTGACTCTGCCTGTGGGTGTGTTATCCATTATGGGTTAACTTTAAATGTTCCTAGCTTCTCAAGCACGCTCGAGTATCTTATACTGACATTTAGGAGGGCCAATGGATTACCCTCGTTTTCTTTGATAAGGTTGGCTAACTGACGTAGTTCGCTAAAATCAATGACGTTAGCGAATCGTGCTACAAGGGCTAGATCTGGATCTAATCCTTGTGGAGTGGGGTTTCTGGGTGGACTAGGTGGTTTGGGTTGGGTCAGGGGAGGTTTAGGGTGCTCCACAGTTGGTTTGGTGGACTCGCTAGGAGTCCGACCTGGCCGCTGTGGCAGTGAGGGGAAGGCCTTCTCCTTAATTAAGGGGGAGGCCCATGGATTGATGAGGGGGGGAGGGGCTGGGCGGAAGATAGAAGAAGGAACAGAGGTTCCTGTCGGTCGAGGAGGCTGAGGGCCTTTCGCCTTTGGGGGATTAGGCGCGCGCGGACACCCGCGATAGTTCGCCGGGTGGCCTGTTGCGCCGCAAAGGACACACGCTACCGGCTCGATGCATTGGGCCCTTTTATTTTATTTATTTTTTTTTTTTTTCGTGCGGAGATCACCTCGGATACCACCTGTCGGTGGCATGTCGGACTCGAACCGACTAAAACCGCACGCCTTCGCCGGGTACTAATAGCCGGGGAACCAGGTATACCCTAGAAAGGAAGTCCCTGGTGAATGCATTGGGCCCTGTCTTTGGGCCTTTTGCACTCCGCTGTCGCGTGATCTTCCAGGCACTTGACGCACCTGGGGCGCGCAAAGCAATTCCTGGCGGCATGGCCATATAGTTAGCAGCGGTGGCATTGAGATAGACCACCTCTACGGTGAGGTGGTTCTATCGTAATACCGGAAAGCCCGCAGAGGGATGACATCTTAAAGATGCCCTCCCCCGCGGGGGTGTCATCTAGCGACACGATTATCATGTCGTAGATGAGATGGGTGCGGCCTTTAACCATCCAGTGGACTTCGTGCACCGGATAATTTTGACGGAGGAGGGAGTCTTTAATCTCCGAGGGGGAGAGCTCTTTGGGGACGTTACGGATGACTGCACGCAGTCTATCCTCTGGGAGTGTGTAGGTGTGAAAGGATACTTCCCTTTCACGGAGGAGCCTTGATAGGGCTCTGTGGTCACTAGAGGTGGCCACTGACACTTTTATGCCCTGTTGGGTACTGCGGGCGCAGTGGTACGTGATGCGACGTTCGTTGCACCACGTAGAAATGCTGGTCCATTTGGACTTGTCCTGGACGTAAATTGGGGGAGGGGTGGGCTCCTTGCGAGCTGGAGTTTCAGTCTCTGTTGGGGCGGGGGATGGTGCCTTCGGCCTTGCAGGGGCGGGAGTGGTGGGGGATGGGCGGGGGACAGCCGACATCGGTTTGTCGGTCGGTCTGTCCTCGTCAGTTTTGGGGGCCTTGTTTGGGCCCTCCTTGTTATTTCGATTGCGTTTTCTCGAAGAGACAACTGTGTAGTCTGAACTACACGAGCTGTCCGATTGAGAGCCTTCGCTTGCGGAGTCTTCGCTACTTGATGCTGTTGTGTCCATCGCGTTCGATGGACAGGCAACCCTATCACTAACACTTTCGGGCAAGGCGGGGATTTTATCGCCATAGCGGTGTTTTAAAAAGGCGTAGACCTCCTTATCTCTAAGGAGGTCTTCTAAATTTAGGGCATTTTTAGGCCTTAAGGGCGATTTAAAAAATATTTTTTTAAAGAACGCTGATCCCCGGGTGGATTGGCCCGGGGGTGAGTGGTTTGTTCCCTCCCAACCGGGATAGGTTGGGATGTACGTAAAATAGGGTGAGCTCTAAGCTTGTATCCCTTCGCCGATCTTATTTTGCAAAGGGTTCCTAACAGCTCAGGTACAGGGGTGGTATGGGCCTAGGTAGACACACCCGAACTTGCACCGGAGAATTGGAGTAGTAGGATAGGGTAGAGGTGGAAGGGTGATGACTAGACTCGACTTTTTGCAGACGGGCCGGGTCACCGCCCACTCGGTTTCGTTGACACCGTAACTTTTTCGAACGTTAGCAGGTGTCCGAATTGTTTTCGTCGTCGGATTGTCATCTCACCCCTCCTTGTTGGGGGTGGGGAAACTATTGTGAGCGCTGGGCTCCTTATAGGGGTGTTCATCGCGACTCACCACTGTGAGTCGGTCATTGGGGTTGAGTCCACCGGTTACGAGGCAGCTCGTCCGGGGTTCCCTCCGAAGAGGAGTCCAGTGAGGCGCCTGCGAGTGGCCGGTGGATCGTGTTCTGAGTTTGTGTTTGGTGCCCCGCTCAGGGAGGTTGAGATAAGTGCCCGAGCAGGGCGTTTCATTCGTCTTCTGATGGAGAGTGTTGTCTCCGAGTGAGGGGAGCAATGCCTGCTAAGTGGGGTAATTTTGAGCGATCGGCCCGCTCAAACATCCCAGTAGCAAGCCTGCTCACGAAAGTCCCGATCGGTTCCCATTTGAGGTCACGGTGGATGGTGGTGTTCCCGAGGTATCTGGGTGCGTCGACTGCCAGGCGGAGACAGCTGTTTTCTACAGCTTGGAGGCGTTGGCGCCTCGACCCCGATGTCAGGTTGTACTAGGCCGGCCCGGAGAAGGTAAGGCGCTACCTGATGTACATTTTATAGATGGCCGAGATGGTGTGGTGGTCTCCAGTATTCCTGTGAAAGTGTCCCAGTTTGTTGTGTGACGTAACGCGGGAGGGACGACCCGCGTAGGCTGCTGTGCTATGACGACGAGTACTGGCTGATGGTCAGACAGTAGCTCGTCGACCAGGACTTGTTGTGAAAGCTGGCGACACCCGCCGTTGTGGACAATTATGTCCAGCACGTCGGGCGTGAGGTTGCGCTGGTACGGGTAGTGTGTAGGTACCTCCGGACCGGCGACCACGTATCCCCGGGACTCGGCGTCGTTGTGGAGTCGGACACCAGCAGGGTTTGTAGCGTTCGAGTTCCACGCTGGGTGCTTGGCGTTCAAGTCTCCCGCGATTACGACCGGGCGGCCCCCTGCAACAACATAAATATGTCGCTGAAGTCCGTCCGGGCGTGTGGTGCTCTGTAGGCGGCGTAAAGCTGGAGCTGCGCGCCGCCCAGGTGTAGTTCAACACCCAGCGTGTAGGTGGTGTTGACGATGCTCGGAGGTAGGGGCTGGTGTACGACTCGTCTCTTTATTAGTACCGCCAGACCACGGTAAACAAAATTTAGGTCCGATCTGTCGTCCCTCCGATAGGCGAGGTATCCCGGGAATTTTATTTTGGCTGCAGGTCCCAGGAGCGTCTCGCTTATCAGCGCCACGTCTATGTCTTGTTCCTGCAGTAGGGGGCGAAGGAGCGCGACCTTGCTTGCAAGGCCGCGGGCGTTCCAATGGATTATCCTCAGCGGCTTACTATCCATTGGCGCTGAGTATAATCGATGCCATGCCTTTCATGGCTATTTCTATAATGGTGCCTGTGTCCTGCCCTTCCCCGACGGCGGTTATTTTGTCCTGCAGGACACGGAGGGCGGCCTGGATCGTTGTTCGCGAATTCTTTGCGCGCTTATCTATCGGGGCTGCCGCTCTTTTCCCCTCGTTGGTCGTCGCGATGGCCGTTTGTTTGGCGGCTGCTTGTTGTTGTTGTTGCGTGGCTGCTGTGGTTGCCCTCGCCTTCACTCCCGTGGGTGCGGCGGCGACAACCGGTCGGTTAGAGGGGGGCGGCCGCTCCGCCGCAAGGTCGATCGTTTCGGTCTGGGGTTGGAGGGTTCCCGCTTGTAGTTGCCCTTTTCTACCCCTCCTCCTCCTCCTTCGCCCTCTTTTGGAGGTGGTGGCTTCACCGTTGCGTTCGGTAGGGGCGTTGGCTGCCGCCATAAGCGACGCCCCTAGTCCTTTCTCGCCTCCGGGCTGCGAGTTTACCGGTGCCGGCCCTTGGCGCGGCGCACCGGTCATGGCGACCGTTCCCGCATTCTTATTTCTTAGCTCCCTTTGGAAGGCGGGGCAGTGTATGTGGTTTGCGGGGTGCTCCCCCCCGCAGTTAGCGCAGGTGGCAGGCTCGTCTCACGGGCGCGGGCATTTGGATGCTGGATGGTCACCGCCGCATCGCACACATGCCATCCTTCTGTGGCAGTTGTGGCTGCTGTGCCTAAATTGTTGGCAGCGGTGACACTGTGCGGGCCCCCTTTATCCCCGCCAGGCTTCTATCTTTACGCCGGGGATACCGAGCATCTCGTCGACCTCGTAAATACCCGGCACTGTTGTTGCGGTCCTCTTTATGATCGCGAGGAGGATGCTTCCCGGACGGTCGCCACGGCCCCGGATGTTTCGGACATACTCCGGGTCGTAGCCCAGGTCCCTTAACTCCTCTTCGACTTCTTGAGGGGTTGCGTTGCTAGGCAGCCCTCTGTAAACTAAGAGATTCCCTCACTCTTTTCCAGCGCCGTCAGGTAGCGCTGTATCAGACGGAACTCCTGGTCGTCCTTAGGCGTGAATCGAATGCCCTTGCCGAAGGGGCGGGTGTTCGCGGCCCTGCTGAGCCGCTGCTTGAGCTGCCTCATGTGTTTAGCCCAGTTTGGTAGGAGCTCGACAATGAGGGGCGGGTATCTCCGTTTCCTTACTTCTTGTTGTTGTTGTTGTTGTTGTGGTGCCGTGGCGGTGGCGGAAGTGGAGGCGGAGGTGGAGGCGGTTGCGGTGGTGGCGGTAGTGGCGGCCGTGATGGGTGACGGGGACGTCACCACACGGGCGTAGGTCCTGCCCTCATCTAAACCCGCCTGTCGCGCCAGTCGCGGGTCGCGCTGGGGGGCAGGTTTGTAGCGCTTCGCCTCCTTGTCTTCTTCAGGGCTACGTGGGCGTCTGACGGGGGCGTGTATCAATGCGTCTGTGTCCATTGACGCAAGTTGTTCTAGGGCGGAGACGGACGAAAGCGCGGTTTGCGGCGCCTTTGCCTTCAGGGGAGGGGGTGGTGTACGGGTAGCACGAAGGTCTTCGTCGCTATCCCCCTCGGACGAATGAACTAATGAACGCGGATTCGCGGGATTCCATCGCCGATAGTCGCGGTGGGGCGGCCCCGCGATAACGGCCGGGGGTGCTGGGTGCCGACATGTCGCTCGACGCTGCCGGGAGGGGCTGCGGGGCGGTACGGGTCATGGGGCGAGCGGTTGTAGGTGGCAGCATTGTTGAGCCACGTGGCTGGGGCGCAGCTTGGTGTGGGTGCGTGCCCTCGCGCTCAACGCTGGCGAGCGCGGAGGGCGCTTGTGCCTCGTGATGCGGTTTCTTGGTTGACCTTAGTAGGGCTGGTGGCAGACGTCGGCATGGCTGGCGCTCATAGGAGCGCACGGCCAGCCTTTGGTTAGCACTGATCTTTTATTCAACAAACACCCCGGGGAGGCGCGAGCAGCCGTGGCCGAGTCTTCTGTGTTATCTTGTTCCGTGCGGCGAGCGAGTGTAGTGCGTTGAGACGTCCTTGCTCGGCGAGCGCGTAGCGAATCCTGCGTGGTGACTCTCGAGTCTTCACACCGTCCCGTAGGGGACGCGTGGTGGCTGGATCGGGGCTGTAGCCCCCTGCCAGCGGTGTCTACCGCTACCCCTAAATAGGGGTAGGTCGTGGGGTTTCGGTGCTTGGTGTCCCTGTTGGGGGAGTTGCTTCGGTCTTCACGCCGCCTCGGCGGTCAAGCCCGAGCCAGGTGAGACCCCAGGCGGTACCTGGGGAGGCCCAGCGCCGAGCGACCAGCGACGGAGGCGGCGGCTTACTTGCAACCCTCTGCTCTGCTCCTGGCTAATGGCGGCCAACACGGCCCGGGACGGTCGCCACGACCCCGTATGTTACGCACATACTCGGGGTTGAAGCCCAGGTCTCGAAGCTCCTGCTCCACCTCTTCCGGCGTCGCGTTGCTAGGTAGGCCGCGAATGGCCACCTTTAAGCTCCGCTCCTCCGGGAGGGAGTAGGAGAACCAGGAGACACCCTCGTTTTTCTCCAGCGCCGTGAGGTAGCGCTGGACGAGTCGGAACTCCTGATCGTCCTTAGGGGAGAAGCGTATCCCCCTACCAAAGGGGCGGGCGTTTGCCGCCCGGCCAAGGCTTCTTTTTAGTTCCCTCATGTGGGTAGCCCAGTTCGGGAGGTGCTCCACTATTAGCGGCGGGTATCGGCGTCTAGGCGCCTGAGTTGTGGTGGCAGCGGTCATTTCGGTATAGATGGTGGGGGCAGCGGCGGGCGGCGGGGACTTCGCGGCCTGCGCGTAGGTGTCGACCTGTCGCCCTGCGTCCTGTTGCTGCCTTCTTATCACCCGCGGGTCGCGCTGCGAGTACAGCGGGGACCTCTCGCGGGTGGTGAGGCAGGGGCGCTTTCTATCGTCACACTGCTCCGCCTCTTCGGGGCTGTGCTGACGACGAGGGGGGTAGGTGGCGGTGGGGCGTCCGTGTCCATTTCCTGCGTGGAGGCGGGCAGCGGAGGCGTCGGTGTTGGCAGTCGTTGGCGGGCTAGCCACTCCTGGATCTCGCGTTTTGTTTCGGCCTTCATAGGGAGTAAGGCGTTCGAGAGCAGTTGCGCAGTGGCCCTTTGTCGGGGGCGACGCGCGAGCGCTTCCGGTGTGGACATGGGTGCGCGGTGCTGACCCTCATGCTCAACGCTGGCGAGCGCAGGTGCAGCTCGAGCCTGCGGAGCGCGAGGGGAGCCCGCGTCACCCTCCTTTGGGTTATTGGCGCGTCTCCTGGGCATAGCTGGCGCTTGAAAAGCGCGCGGCCTGCCCTAGGAGGTTGGTGATTGTCGCTCGGCCTGTCGGTTGGTTTTATCGCCATAGCGGCGTTTTAAGAAAGTGTAGACCTCCTTATCTCTAAGGAGGTTTTCTAAATTTAGGGCCTTAAGGGCCATTTTTAATTAATGATTTAAAAATTTAAGAACGCTGGTCCCCGGGTGGATCGGCCCGGGGGTGAGTGGTTTGTTCCCTCCCTGTTCCTTCCCTGTGATGTACTTAAAATAGGGTGAGCCCTAAGCTTGTATCCCTTCGCCGATCTTATTGTGCGAAGGGTTCCTAACAGCTCAGGTACAGGGGTGGTATGGGCCTAGGTAGGCCGGCACACCCAAACTTGTACCGGAGAATTGGAGTAGTAGGAGAGGGTAGGGGTGGGAGGGTGATGACTAGGCTCGACTAGGAGGTCCCCCAAGGCCGAGTGATCTAGCCCCAGCCGACTTTTGCTTTGCCCTAAAGGGGCAAAGCAGGCGGGTCGAGTCACCGCCCACTCGGTTTCGTTGACACCGTAAGGTATCCACCGAGGACCAAACTATGGTTTTTCCCTGAAGGGGTGACTCAGAAACAAACGCCACGAATAGGGCTTCGTATAAACAACAGTCGTATTTATAAATACGACGTTATCTACACGGGCCAAACCGAACCGCTGTGAGCCGTTTAATAACTTTCATGCTCTAAAAAGAACAATAATTGTTATTAAGCGGTACACGATTACGCTACACGTGCGCTCGTACGGGTGACGTCACACGAAGGGAACAACACCCGTACCGGTCGAAGAAGACGTAAGCGACGGCTGCGTCGAGTGAGCAGCAGCGGCGGGTGCGGCGTGGTGTACTCTCGAGTCTTCACACCGTCCCGTCGGGGACGTGCGGTAGCTGGATCGGGGCTGTAGCCCCCTGCCAGCGGTTTCTATCGCTACTCCTAGGAGTAGGTCGTGGGGTGTTTTGGCCGTGTGGTGTCATGTCAAGGTAAGGCGGGGTTGCTTCGGTCTTCACGCCGCCTCGGCGGTACCTGGGGAGGCCCAGCTCCGAGCGACCAGCGACTGAGGCGGCGACTTACTTGCAACCCCCTGGTGTCTTGTCCGGGATGTGTGGGGCGGTCCGCACCGCTACGCGGTCTGCACAGCGCCCCGCTGTGTTGTAACTGCTGTGGCGGCGGACCTCCCCGCCTGCGCACGGTGCCTCTACTTGGGCCAAGTAGGCGCAAGTGCTCGCAGGCTAGTGGGGGCGGTCGCGGCAACAGCAGGTTCTGTGGGCATAAAATAAAAAATATTTTATGTATGCAATTTGTGGTTGAGTCCGCCGCCATCGTCCCGGCGCAGGGGCAGAGATCCGCCCCCGTGGCGGGGCGCCTGCAGTTCTAAAAGGCTAGTGTGGGTGTGTCGGGACTGTCTATACCCGGGTGCCGGGGACCGCCTTCCTCTCCGGGACGTCTTCTGTCCGCAACTAGGTCGCGGGGTAATCTTTTACGATCCGGTGGTCGAGCGTCTCGGATATGGCTCCAATCCGAGGCGTCGGCACGCTCGAACATGGCGGCGGCGAGTCGGCGGACGTGTGCGTCCAGGCTCTCCATCTTGAGGTCCCTCTCGATAACGTCGTTGCTCACATATCAAGGTGCCCGCACGACGGCGCGCAGCGCAAGGTATTGTTGCGCGCGCAGTCGTCGGCGGCTCGTCTCGCTGGTGAGGGCGTACCAAGAGGGACTGGCATAGGTGAGCTGGGTGCGGACGTAGAGTTTGTACACACCCAGCTTGGCACGGGTTGGTAGGCGGGAGTCGAACACTGAACGCAGCAGGGCGCGTGTTGCCCTGACACGCGCGACGGTGTTGCGGTCGTGTAGCTTCATGGTGAGTAGGCGGTCAATTGTTATTTTACAGTATACCCCATATATACTCGTATATAGTAATACCCCAGGTATTTTCCAGTCGACATCCAAGGGATATCTTGACCGTGTAGTTGGAGCGGTGGTGGGAGCTTTATGGCGTTGGTTATAGGGATCGCCTGTGTTTTATCGATGTTCACTGTGAGTCGCCATTTCGACAGCCAGGTGGGCAGGAGATCTAAGGATCGCTGTAATTTCGACGCGGCGTGGCGGAGCTGGATACTCGTAGAGATGTACGCCGCGTCGTCGGCGTACAGCGCCAGTTCGGCGCCCTCTGCGAGGGGGATGTCGTCTGTGAAAAGTGAGTATAACACAGCCGATAGGCAGCTTCCCTGTGAAATCTCGCCCTCCACCACCACTCGGAAAGTCCGGTTGGTCAGGAAAGAGGAGACCACTTCCACTACACGGCGGGGCGTCGTCGTCGTGGATAGTTTTTCGAGGAGACCGACGTGCCAGACCCGATCGAAGGCCATCTCCATGTCGAGAAGTACAACGGCGTGCTCGCGCTTATTTCGCGCCGCCGTAATCTTGTACAGTACTCTCGACAATTGTAGAGTCGTGCTATGTTCAGACCGAAACCCATATTGCTCCGGTCTGGGTGTGATGTGCGGTATGAGGTGACGCAGCAGGAGCTGTTCGAACACCTTCGAGGTGGTGGGTAGTAGAGTTATCGGCCGATAACTCTCCGGCTTCAGTACATTCTTCCCCGGCTTTGGGAGTATAATAACGCGTCCCTCCTTCCATAGGCCAGGGAAGTGGCCCGTGCGCAGGATGCCGCTGTATAGGCGCGCCAACGCTGCCACTGTTTTGTGCGGCAGGTGGCGCAGCGCTTTGTTGGTGATGCCGTCTGCGCCCGGGGCCTTTCGTGGCTTGGTTCGGCGTATGATGCTCTTGACCATTGCCAGGGAGAAAAAGATGGGGTCTTCTTCGGGAGCTATCGGCAAGGCGAAGTACTCTCGAAGGTGTGACTCAACTGCTGCGGTGTGCGCGGGTTCTGTGTCTGGGTTCGGTCTGAACTGATGCTCCAGGTGATCCGCGAATATCTCCGCTCGGTCTCCCGCCCGGTATCGGGGTGCCCCGTCTGCGTGTAGCAGTGGCCGCACCGGAGCTGGGGTGTTGGTAAAGCGGCGGCATAGGCGATGGATCGAGGTCCAATCATCTCTGATGTCCTCGATATGTCTCTCCAGCTCTCGGCGGTGTAGGCGCTCATCTCGGCCTTCACTCTCTCCGCGAGCCGGTTTTATCTGGCCTTGAGTGTGGGGCAGCGTAGACTCTGCCATTGTCGTCGGAGGCGCCAGACGGAGGCAGGGGTGGTAATGGCCCCTGGGTAAGCGGGATAGTCATCTTAGCCGAGTCAAGGGCGCCTCTGAAGTACGTCACTGAAGTCCGTCTTGGCGACCGTGCCCGCCTTTCTGTTTCTCAGTTCCCTCTGGAAGGCGGGACAGTTCACGTTATTTGCGGGGTGCTCCCCCCCCACAGTTTGCGCAGGTGGCGGGTTCCTCCCGTGGGCGCGGACAGCTTGACACTGCGTGGGTCTTCTTTTGCTCCTCCAGGCTTCTATTTTGACACCGGGGATACCGAGCATCTCGTCGATGTCGTAGATCCCCGGCACTGTCGTGGCAGTCCTCTTTAGGATTGCGAGGAGGATACACCCCGGGCGGTCGCCGCGACCCCGGATGTTTCGGACATACTCCGGGTCGTAGCCCAATTCCCTGAGTTCCTCTTCGACCTCTTGTGGAGTGGCGTTGCTGGGTAGCCCTTTGATGGCCACCTTGAGGCTTCGTTCTTCCGGCAGCAAGTACGTAAACTAGGAGATTCCCTCTGCCTTTTCCAGCGCCGTTAAATAGGCCCTGGATCAGGCGGTACTCCTGGTCCTCCCTCGGTGTAAAGCGAAGGCCCTTCCCGAACGGGCGGGCGTTTGCGGCCCTGTCGAGTTGTTTTTTCAGCCCCCTGATGTGTTGAGCCCAGTTCGGTAATAGCTCAACAATGAGGGGCGGGTATCTGCCCCTGCGTTCCTCCCCGTGTCGCTGCGATGTGCAGCGGTGGTTGCAGTGGCGGCAGGGATTTCGATTGTGGTAGGTGGTGGGGATGTCACAACTCGGGCGTATGACCTGCCCTCGACCGCTCCGGCGTATCGCGCCAAGCGCGGATCACGTTGGGGGGCGGGTTTGTATCGCTTAGCCTCGGTGTCCTCTTCCGGGCTACGCGGTCGGCGGATGGGGGCTTTGGTTGTTTGCGCGTCCGGGTCCATAGCCGAAGGCCGCTCAGACGCAGAGAAGGATAGCGACCTCCTCTTAGGCTCGCTTTCCGCGGACAAAGGCACGGCTCGTGGTGTCTCCGGTCGCGAAGGAGCAGATGGGCGGACGGCGTAGGCTTCCATGTCGCTATGTGCAGCGACGACGCGGACGAGCATAGAGAGCGAGGGGCCGGCGACTCCATCGCTGATTGGCGCGGTGGGGCGCCCCCGCGGTGATGGACGGGGGTAGTGGGGGCTGACGCGTCGCTCGACGCCGCTGAGGAGGGCGGTGGAGCTGTACGGGTCAGGGGGCGAGAGGTGGGTGGCGGTCGCATTGAGCTGCGGCGGCGTATCAGGTCATCCGTAGATGGCTTGGGTGCAGCCGGTCTTGGTGTTTGAGGTTGGAGCGCGTGCTTATGGTACAAGCCCTCTCGCTCAACGCGGGCGAGAGTAGGGGGCGCTCGAGCCCGCGGAGCGCGAGGGGTGTGCGCGTCTTGCGGTGACGTAGGCGATGTTGGCCCTCGGAGGGGCTAGTGGTGTATTTTGGCATGGCTGGCGCTCCAGGGAGCGCACGGCCAGCCCTTGGTTAGACTGATGTCACGGGGTGGTGTGGTATTTCAGGTGCAAACAAACACAACAGATTCGCCGCTGAACACCAACTCCGAGGAGTTGGGATGTGGTCGACCCACAATTATGTCCGCACTGCTGTGTTTTTTTGCCACTGCATAGGTGGGCGAACGTCTCCTACGAACACTCGGCCTGAGGCCGGGGAGCAAGGGAAACAGTTCCGTGCAGGGAGCAACACTTCGGGCGTCTTCGTCAGGCTTCGAGAGTCTTCGGTAGATGCGGAGCTGTTGCTTCTTCGACGTCCGGGCGAATCCTGCGTGGTGTAGGTTTTTTTTTTTTTTTTGTGTGATGTATGGTTGTTGGTCTCGGATGGCCTCGACAACCTTGCCTGAGTGAGCACCTTGGTGAGCGCAGAGGGCTCTCAACCGGTCTTAATTAAGTAACATCGCCCAAGGGCATCCCCTGTGGGGTACGAACCTCGGCTTGGGGCGTTACTGGCAAACTAGGGCGACCAAGACCCACACACCACTGGCAAACAAGGGAGTTAACGCGGCGCACATTCCGGCCCCGGCGGCGAGGACGGAATCGCGGACGATTCGTGGTAGCTGCGCGAGCTGTGTACACTCGCTGCTGAGCGAGGGTGATCGTGTCGTCTGGCTCAACTAGAGCGTGTTTCGGTCTGCGTGTGCGTGAAATCTTGCTGGGTGTGTACTTAACAGCCGCAACCACTAGAGGGTTGGGGTGAGTCGGAGCAGAGTCAAAGTAGCTAAGGGAGCACTGTTTTATGAATTGCCTGATGGTCGGCAGCTCAAGGTCGATATGAAGTTAGTTAGATATGAAGTGGTGTAGGCGCGGGCGCGCTCATTTTATACCTTTGCCGCGGACGCGTCGCAGGCGCGCGCATGCGCGGTGTTATAGTGCATAGTGTTCGAAGAAGCAGCGTATTTATTTATTGTAATTTTATTACAGAGAAGCTTACTTATCTAGTATAAACATTAATACACAAACAACAAATAAAAGAATCTTATCACAACATAGTCTTATTAGAATAGAAGCTAAGTACAAACAATAGAGGTATAATCTTTTTAGATTCTAAACTATAAAACAAAAGGACTTAAACTTTATAAATAACTAAGGTTTTTTTTTTTTGCGGCTAACATAAATACCTAAAGCTGGTATTTACAATCTCCCCCTCGTGCGCAAGCACCACTATATTATAGTGATAAGTCCGTTGTTGTTATCACGATGAGACGAGAGGCTGGGCGACGAATTAAACCGGCTGCTGTGCGGATTTCGGTTACTCGAACACGTCCATCTGGTCCGGGGTAAACCTGTGTCACCTCTCCTCTTGGCCACACTCCTCTAGGCATTGTGTTGTCCACTATTAAAACAATGTCACCGATTTTCAGATTTTTATGTTCATGATTGGAGCCGGGTCGGGGCAACAGTAAGGGTTTGTACTCCGCTGACCAACGTGCCCAAAATAAATCGGCTAGTGCTTGGGTAGCTTTCCACGTGTGTACGTCTATCGTGGTATCTTTAAATGAACCAAATGGTGACATCAAACTTGATCGCCCCATTAGGAAATAATTGGGAGTCAACGCTTCTTCAACAAGGTTGGGATTCACTGGCGTCAATGGCCTTGAGTTGACTACGTGTTCTGCTTCTAGCAACAACGTATGCAGCACTTCATCAGAGGGGTACCTTTCTTTCAGGGTGACTTTGAGGCGCGCACGCCGTCATCGCGGCGGTAAGACCCGTCATGGAGGATTGGCTCAAGAGGCGTCACGGGATCCTCTCATACCGACTGACGCAGGTGATCACTGGGAAAGGATGTTTCGGGGATCACCTGTGTCTGATCCACAAGGAGCCAACGCCTGAGTGCCACCACTGCGATGGCCAGACCGTGGACACGCTCCACACGCTTATGGAGGTCGGAGGTCGCAGAACGACCTCCAACCTCCATAAGCGCAGGCCTGGGGGTGACAGATGAGGCCATCTGTCACCCTAGCAGAAGCAGGCCGGGGTAGCGGCGAGCGCGTTGCGAAGCTCCCAGGGAGCACAGGGAATATGGGGTTCCCACATGGGGGGGGGGGTCGTCTACTCGTCTGTTGATGGCCCGAGGTATGTCGGGGCACCAGGGACTTCCTTTCTAGGGTATACCTGGTTCCCCGGCTATAAGTACCCGAGAAGGCGTGCGGTTTTAGTCGGTTCGAGTCTGACATGCCACCGACAGGTGGTATCCGAGAGGATTTACGCACCGAAAAAAAAAAGAAAAAAAAAGGGTGACTTTGAGGGCCGTCTTAATCAATCTCACGAGGCGTTCCCAGGCTCCGCCCATGCTCGGGGTGCCTGCCTATCTTCTTACACGTGGTAATTTTTTCCGATGCGAAGGTTTTTAGGCTCTGATCGATTCCTTGCATCGCTTCTGATATTTCTTTCTCAGCGCCAACGAAGTTCGTTCCGTTATCGCTGTATATCACAATCCGCGTGCCGCGGCGCGCTATTAATCGTCGCAGGCTCATGATCATAGAAGAGGCCGTAAGCGATGTGACCATCTCCATATGTACTGCGCGTGTCGTGAGGCATGTATATAGTGCCCCCACCTTTTCTCGCGTCTTCGCCCGACTGTCGTATGCATTGGCCCAAAATAATCTACCGCGGTCGCAGTGAATGGCGGTTGGTTTTGGGCCAGCCTTTCCACGGGTAGGTCGCCTAAGGGGATTTTTGAGGGGATCCCCTTATAGGTCCGACACCATTGGCATTTGTTGCATATGTAGCGTATAACACTTCGCAGTCCTATATTATATCTTTGTCTTAATTCGTTCATGACAGTTTGATGGTTGCCATGATTGAAGGTTGTGTGCGTGTGATGCACCAACAGCCGCGTGAAGCCTTCTTTGGCATGTAGGACTGGCGTGTTTTGCTGATCTCTAATTCGTCTGTCTAAACACAGGATACCGTTGCAGTCGATCTTCACGGAGAGCTTGTAAAACGGTGACTTCTTCGGTGGTCGCCGCCCAGCCTCGATCGTCGCTATGTCCTCAGCGAAAGAATTACACTGGCTCCTTCTTACCAGCAATAACTCAGCTAGTTTTTATATGGTTAGGTGTGAGTTCAGTTCTCGTAATTCCATTGAGTAGTTTGGCTTTGAATACCTCAGCGGCGAGAAGTACCGTTGCAGCAGCACGATCTAATCGAATATATTTAGAAAAACGTTCTAACTTAGGTAACAAGTCGCTGACGTCATGCCTAACGGTTACGTGAACCTGTTTTATTACCCTTTCTTCCCCTGAAGAGGGTGGCGGAATCACGACTCGTTGCTCTTGCGGCCATGTACCGGGCTCGCGTCTTATAAACTCGGGCCCTAAAAACTAACTATGCTTGGCGTTGAAATTGACGGGAATGCCCTTGGTCGCGTCGTCCGCGACGTTATCAGCGCTGGGTACCCAATGCCAGTTCGCTGGCGTAGTTAAGTTTTCAATCTCGGCTAATCGATACGCAACAAACGACTTGAAGGCGCGCGGTGCGGATTTAATCCAAGCTAAAACAGTTTTTGAATCCGACCAATAATTACACTTTATTATTTTATAGTCGGACTCGCGCTTGACCGATTCGGCTAACCGGCTACCTAATACCGCGGCTTGTAATTCTAGACGGGGTATCGATATAGGTTTTAGCGGGGCTACTTTGGCCTTTCCTACTATTAACCGAGATGATTTGCTACGATCCGTCCTAGTACTAACGAAATATATTGCGGCCGCATAAACCTTTTCACTTGCGTCACAAAAAATGTGCAACTCCCTAGGCGGCGTAGCGGGTATGTATCGGTCTATTTCTAACTTTTTTAATAGCTGTAGGTTATTTGCTCGAGTATCTTATACTAACATTTAGGAGGGCCAATGGATTACCCTCTCGAGTATCTTATACTAACATTTAGGAGGGCCAATGGATTACCCTCGTTTTGTTTGATGAGGTTGGCTAACTGGCGTAGTTCGCTAAAGTCAATGACGTTAGCGAATCGTGCTACAAGGGCTAGATCTGAATCTAATCCTTGTGGAGTGGGGTTTCTGGGTGGACTGGGTGGTTTGGGTTGGGTCGGGGGAGGTTTAGGATGCTCCACAGTTGGTTTGGTGGACTCGCTAGGAGCGATGGATTGCTGAGGGGGGGAGGGGCTGGGCGGAAGGCAGAAGAAGGAACAGAGGTTCCTGTCGGGCGAGAAGGCTGAGGGCCTTTCGCCTTTGGGGGTTTTCGCCTTTGGGCTTCGCCGGGTGGCCTGTTGCACCGCAAAGGACACACGCTACCGGCTCGGTGCATTGGGCCTTTTGCACTCCGCTATCGCGTGATCTTCCGACGCACCTGGGGCGCGCAAAGCAATTCCTGGCGGAATGGCCATATAGTTGGCAGCGGTGGCATTGAGATAGACCACCTCTACGGTGAGGTGGTTCTATCGTAATCCCGGAAAGCCCGCAGAGGGATGACATCTTAAAGATGCCCTTGCCCGCGGGGGTGTCATCTAGCGACACGATTATCATGTCGTAGACGAGATGGGTGCGGCCTTTAACCATCCGGTGGACTTCGTGCACCGGATAATTTTGGCGGAGGAGGGAGTCTTTAATCTCCGAGGGGGAGAGCTCCTTGGGGACGTTACGGATGACTACACGCAGTAGTCTATCCTCTGGGAGTGTGTAGGTGTGAAAGGATACTTCCCTTTCACGGAGGAGCCTTGATAGGGCTCTGTGGTTACTAGAGGTGTCCACTGACACTTTTATGCCCTGTTGGGTACTGCGGGCGGAGTGGTACGTGATGCGACGTTCGTTGCACCACGTAGAAATGCTGGTCCATTTGGACTTGTCCTGGACGTAAATTGGGGGAGGGGTGGGCTCCTTGCGAGCCGAAGTTTCACTCTCGGTTGGGGCGGGGGATGGTGCCTTCGGCCTTGCAGGGGCGGGAGGGGTGAGGGAAGAGGGGGACAGCCGACATCGGTTTGTCGGTCGGTCTGTCCTCGTCAGTTTTGGGGGCCTTGTTTGGGCCCTCCTTGTTTTTGCGACTACGTTTTCGCGAAGAGAACTGTGTAGTCTGAACTACACGAGCTGTCCGATTGAGAGCCTTCGCTTGCGGAGTCTTCGCTACTTGATGCTGTTGTGTCCATCGCGTTCGATGGACAGGCAACCCTATCACTAACACTATCGGGCGAGGCGGGGCTATCGGGCGAGGCAGGGATTTTATCGCCATAGCGGTGTTTTAAGAAAGCGTAGACCTCCTTATCTCTAAGGAGGTCTTCTAAATTTAGGGCCTTAAGGCCATTTTTAATTAACGATTTGAAAAATATTTTTAAGAACGCTGGTCCCCGGGTGGATCCGCCCGGGGGTGAGTGGTTTGTTCCCTCCCAACCGGGATAGGTTGGGAGGATGTACTTAAAATAGGGTGAGCCCTAAGCTTGTATCCCTTCGCCGATCTTATTGTGCGAAGGGTTCCTAACAGCTCAGGTACAGGGGTGGTATGGGCCTAGGTAGGCCGGCACACCCAAACTTGTACCGGAGAATTGGAGTAGTAGGAGAGGGTAGGGGTGGGAGGGTGATTACTAGGCTCGAATAGGAGGTCCCCCAAGGCCGAGTGATCTAGCCCCAGCCGACTTTTGCTTTGCCCTAAAGGGGCAAAGCAGGCGGGTCGGGTCACCGCCCACTCGGTTTCGTTGACACCGTAAGGTTTCCAGCGAGGACCAAACTATGGTTTTCTTTCAACGCGGTGTGGCGGAGCTGTATACTTGCAGTGATGCACGCCGCTTCGTCGGCGTACAGCGCTAGTTCGGCTAGGGGGATGTCGTCTGTGAATCGTGAGTATAACACAAGCGATAGATAGCTTCTTTGTGGGACGCCGGCCGCTATGCTGCGGACGGTTAAGGTCTCTCCTTCCACCACCA